TGGACACACCAACACTTAGTTACACCAACACTTAGTTACACCAACACTTGGACACACCAACACTTAGTTACACCAACACTTAGTTACACCAACACTTAGTTACACCAACACTTAGACACACCAACACTTAGTTACACCAACACTTAGTTACACCAACACTTAGTTACACCAACACTTAGACACACCAACACTTAGTTACACCAACACTTAGTTACACCAACACTTAGTTACACCAACACTTAGACACACCAACACTTGGACACACCAACACTTAGTTACACCAACACTTAGTTACACCAACACTTAGACACACCAACACTTAGTTACACCAACACTTAGTTACACCAACACTTAGTTACACCAACACTTAGACACACCAACACTTAGTTACACCAACACTTAGTTATACCAACACTTAGACACACCAACACTTAGTTACACCAACATTTAGACACACCAACATTTAGACACACCAACAGACACACCAACACAGTTAAACCAACACTTAGTTGTACCAACATTTAGACACACCAACACTTAATTACACCAACACTTAGTTAAACCAACACTTAGCTATACCAACATTTAGACACACCAACACTTAGTTACACCAACACTTAGTTATACCAACATTTAGACACACCAACATTTAGACACACCAACACTTAGTTACACCAACACTGAATTAAACCAACAATTAGTTATACCAACATTTGGACACACCAACACTTAGTTACACCAACACTTAGTTGAAGCAACACTTAGTTACACCAACATTTAGACACACCAATACTTAGTTACACCAACACTTAGTTACACCAACATTTAGACACACCAACACTTAGTTACACCAAAATTTAAACACACCAACACTTAGTTACACCAACACTTAGACACACCAACAGTTAGTTACACTAGCACTTAGTTACACTAACAGACAGTGTAAAAGTGCTCAGGATAAGGTCTACAAAAGAAACAAACATTCAGTGGATCTGGGTCTGTAAATAAAACTGGGATGAACAGTGGTTTTATCATATTTGCTTCATGTTTGTTAAGGTTAAGTTGAACCTGAATTTATGATTTGGACTTGTTTAGTTTTTTGTACAGAGTACTGAGACGATTCGTGTTCTGGTRTGAATCCTGATCCAGATACCTGAAAATAAAGGCTGAAATGTTCCTTTTGTCTTGAGGTCATTTTTTCTTCTGTACAAGGAAGGAGAACTTGACGTTGGTACTGGTGAGTGAGGATGGATAAAGAACCCATAAAAGGGGGGCTTCAGAAGTGGTCCCATTGCTCTCCCCAAAAAAGACACTGGTCTTTATTCAAACCTTCTCGTCCCTCGGATGAAGGACACVRGRTTAGAAACACTCAGTGTTCTGAGCTTCTCAGGATCCATAAAGGGGTCCCCAAGAATTATTTTCCTTTGATCACTCAGAGCTAGATAGTGATCTAAGTAGTRCAAAGAGGTCTGTAGAGGTCTGTATTCCACAGGCATCACACAGACCATTGTCATGAAGTCCCATCACCATTTTGTGGAGGTTGAGCAGATTATGCCCAGTTAGGACTCCAACCAGTGTACTTAAGAGTTTTCCTTGACAGGGAGTTGGGAGTTTTCCCAAACCTTAGATTTGGGCCCTTAATCAGTTCCTGTGCCTGTCGACAGTCTGTCAGCTCCCTCCAGCAGACTGAGTGTTGACGTCTGATCCAGGTCTGTAGGGCAGTCCYACAGACTGTTGTTGAGATACCTACAACAGGCTCTAGTTCTTTCAAGTGGGCCTGAGGCAGTCAGCTCTCTGGTTACYATTAATGCCGGAATGTAAGCATACTTGCATCTTGCTGAGGATAGCCATGTAAAGAGAGACTGAATGTTGAGGCAGTGTTGTGTTTGTAACAAAGTTTCTGTGAGACGACTGTATTAAACGTTGAGCAGTAATTAATTATTAATTAATTAGTTAATAAACAGTATCCATGCACACGTCCAGATGTGTGAGGACTGAAGAAAATGTTGTCAGTTCTGAAGATATGAATACTGTAGGTGGTCAAGGATGGCTGGGATTGTCTTCTGGATGTGTACTATGACTATCCTCTCAACATACTTCATYACAGTAGTGGTGAGTGTAGAAGGTTGATACTGAGACAAGTCACTGGGAATGTTATTCATAGGAGGAAAATGTCGGTGGTTTTGATGCTAGAAGGTARAAGTGCCTGAGRTTAAATATCCTGAAGAACCTGGGTTGAATGTGCTCTAAAGACATGTCCAGAGATGGTATTAGCCTTTCAGAGGTTGATTCTGACATGACTAATAGTGTGTTTGTGTCCCTCAATGTCCAGCAGTCCTCGGTCTGTAATCTGCTGCTGCCTCATGTGTCTAGTGTCTGATGTGTTGCAGTAGTCCTCCAGCTTTAGCCAACCCCAGGGTGAACAGTCTCATGTCAATCATATTAGACAGTTCAAATAAATGTTGTAGACAGTTATGGAGGCATTATTTTCTGTGTGAAACCTTTTCTTTGTTAAACTGTTTTTCCGGTCAGCACATTGGATAAAACAAAAAATTGAATTATTAAGGTTCATACTCACATCAGCAGACGGTCCCCTCCTAATTGTCAAATTGCTGAAAGACAAAAGAGCAACAATACTCCAATCAATTCCTAAAACTTCAATGTTCAGTCCTCCTAATACACCTGTTGAAGAGTCAGTGACACCAAGATGGACAACAGAGGCAGACCCTGAAGATGCTGAGGCCAGGGGAACAGAAGCACAAACTGCAGATTAGCAGACAGAGGAGCCCTGAAAGGTAAAACCCAGGTTTGTACTGAGTCAACTCGGCATTGAGTGAGCACAAACCCTGTAAACACTGCAATTAGCTGATATGCACACACAAGAACACACACAGTCCCAAGGGGTTTACTTCAGGTACATTTAGGTGGGACAGGAAAACACGGCTGTCAGGACAGGCTAAGAGGGTGGACGTGGCCTACCTCATCTCCAGAGCTTGTTCCACACATTCCAACAGGCTCCTGCAACAGGAAGACCTCTGGTGTTTATCACACTACAGGCCTGAAYGGCCCATAACAAGAAGGGGGGTCTGCTAAAGTCTGTTGATGTGCTTGAGTTTAATACAATCACTAGTCTATGTTAACCAAGTTAGTGGCTGAAAGGGTTTAAACAAAGGTTTAAGAACAATAAGCAGTTTCATTTTGGATAAGATGAGACATGTTAGGAATGTTCCCACAAATAAACACAATGTCTATTGTCATGTAAAAACACTAAGCTTTCGGTCAGTCAAACTGTACAGCACCTGGTTTTAGCTCCAACCTCTGAGCATCATTTCAACACTGCCTGCTCAGCCTCAGTGCCAGATTTATACAGCAGCCAGCAGCAAACACAAGCTCTGGAAAAAATGATGGAATCCCCCCTCATGAAGGATCAGCACCTCCAAATCTGAGTCCATGGTCCTCTGATGAATAAAGGTGGACAGTCCTGTCCATGTTGTGTTTCAGGTGGTTAATGTTCTCAGTGTTACTGTAAGTTGTCTTGACTTTGCTGTTGCACACCTTGCAAATGATCCAGATCTGCTCAAGTTCAAACCTTACGAACCCTAACCAGTTTCATTGACCCTCGTCTAGGAACGAGCTGCTCCACACCACCTTTCACTGTTGTTATATCATGTCATGTCATGTCATGTCATGTCATGTCATGTCATGTCATGTCATGTCATGTCATGTTATGTTATGTTATGGGCTCACATGTGTCCTTGTGGGTGATACTGAGAGAGTGCAGAGTAGGATTGAGCGATATGGCAAAAAATTCATATCACGATATACATTATGATGGGTGGCGGTAACGATATATATCACGATATAAAAC